TTTTTTTTAATTTATTTTTAATTTATTTGTTTTTTTTTTTATCTCCATTGTACCATTCATATTGTCATGCATGTCTTCACATGGGTGCATGCAACATGTACATGAACTCAAGTACATATAGGATTTAGGAATGGAACCTGAATTAGGGATACAAACTGCAATTGTGCTTAATGAGCCCACAATGCCCATCCCTAACATACTGCCTGGTGTATACTAATGCAGTAATACTTGAAACATGCCATGCTCTGTAACTTTACTGCAATAAGTAAGTTGTGTAGGTAATTTGGGCATATAGTCATTGTTCACTTCTGAATTTTCTCATTTTCTTTTCAGACATTAAACCAGATGTTCATTGTTAATGCTGGTAGTGGGTTCAAGCTACTATGGAATACTGCAAGAGGGTTTCTTGATCCGAAGACCACAGCCAAAATACATGTATATATATATATATATATCTATCTATTTTTCTTTATATATTTTCAGTTTAGAAAGGAACAAGCATAGTATAAATGATTCATGCTGAATCTACAGGTTTTAGGCAACAAGTTTCAGAGCAGATTGTTAGAGATTATAGACTCGAGGTTTGTGTTTATGTTTGTACTGTGCTAGTTAATTAAGTGCTTCTATGTCTGTAATAATGCATATCATGTGAACATTCCTTATTGTGTCTATTTTAACAGCCAACTTCCGGATTTCCTCGGTGGCAGTTGTTCATGCCCAAATGATGGAGGGTGTCTTAGATCTAACAAGGGACCTTGGAATGATCCCAACATTTTGAAAGTATGGCATTATTAGGATTATGGTTCCCACATTTGTATGAAATCTAGTTAAGAGTTATGGCTCAATTGTACAGCTAATACACCCTTGTTCTATTTACAGCTATTACATTCTAGAGAAGCAATGAAACTAACAAAGTTCGGAAGTTCTTCTGTTGCTAATGAGGTAGATGTGCAGTCGTATGCCAGCAAGGTTACACTTAAATTTAGTGCCAGTGCAGTATTTGTTGTACAATTCACAAGTCTCATTGATACTCTTTTTGCATGATTTAAAGCTTTACACGTGATTGTTTCTTGATATAGGTTACAAGCACAGAAATATCTGAAACTGTATCAGATTCAGCAGCAAGATTGAGTCCTTCAGCCTTCATACAATCTGTTCCTTCTAGTGAAAATGTGAGCTGACTTTCTATTTCCTTTTTTGTTTTGTTTATATCTTATATGTTTCATATGTTTGGGTTTCAAATCCTTAGTAGTTTCCTTATCTCCCAAACAAGAAGCTTTACTGAGTACGGATACTGACTACTACTCATTTTACAAATACTTTTTTCGGAAGTATTTTTCTCATCTCATATGCTACGGAAAGGAAGTGAAACAAAATTATGAATGATTTATGTTGTGACATAGAGTTGACAATAATTTGGGCTCTCCAGCTTGATACTAATACTATCTAATCCTATTGATTGGAGCCATAACCGATTCAATGCGAATATTTTCTTATACTATTGAGAGTCTCTGGTATCTTTAGTGAATTTGTGCTAATTAACTTTTTGATGTACACTACAAGTTTTATTTCATCTTTGCATAAACTTAAGCAAATAGGATCACGGTCAAACCAAGTGTCTTTATTATCCTGCCGTCTTTTTACACATTAGCAGATTTTTGACCAAATGTCCCTTCTAAAGGTGTGAATTCTCATTTAAATAATAAACTGTAACAGGCCCATATTTAATCACAGCAATCCTTGATTTGCAGCTATAAAAAACTGTACAATTAATGAAATAATACAAAAATAAATTAGGAACATTGAGGAGTGGTTATAACGCTGTTTTATATATTAAGAATGCTGATAATTAGGAGAACTAATAATCAGATTGATTCTATTAACACATGTGTGCCTTCCTTGAACAACTTTTGTAGGTGGGAATTATGCATTAGAGACTCAATTAATTTTGGTGTAACACTAATTACTTATAATTAACCAATTATTTATTTACATGGTTTTAACTATGGTGTGTTTGGGAAAGCTGTAAAAATCAAATTATTTCAACAATCAATTACATGTATAATTGATTATTGTTATAATTGATTATAATTATAATGAATTTTTGTTTTGATAATTTTGATGAAAAACGATTTAGAAATATATACTTTAATACAACAGAAAATCAGTTTTAAGGTAGTAAATTAGCTTAAAAGGAAAAAAAAAGCTGTTGAGAAATAATCATAAGTTTCAAATTTTCTACATTATAAAACAGTTTATTTTTCAGAAAGAAGCTGTTTAGAAATTTAGGTTGTTGTCCCAAACATACAACTTATTTTACAAACAATTTTTTTCTAAAAAATAACAGCTGAAATTTGGGATTATAAGCCATCCTAAACATGCTCCAAGCTTCCAGAAATAAGTTGAAAAGAGTTTATTTTGATAAGTTTGTGAAGCTTATTTTAATAAAACTTATAAGAACTCAGAAGGTCACAAGTCACTTCCATCAACCTAATTTGGCTCTTCAAAATGGCCCCTTTAAGATAAATTTTAGCTTCTGTATATCTTTGTGTGGATATAGTACTTTATTTTCAACATTTTGTCTAAACTATAGGTTATCTGCAATTTATATATGACATGGAACCAAATTTCAGAGAACGATGAGAGACTCTACACCTATTGGCAACTTACATGAGCCAGTGAATGCTGCCAGAGAAGTCGGGGAGGTTAATTCAACAAGTATGTTATTCCTTATCACGTTTTTCTTCCTTCTAATTAGGGCCTGATCTGTGTTTCATTCTTTTGTAGAATTTATTAGTGGATAATTGATTTTGTGGCTTATAAATGATGATATTAAAACTTACAACATAGCCTGTGAACAGCCTTGGTTTAGATGCCTGATTTGCACCATGAGAAAATGAAAGGATAAATATGTAGTTTAAATTTATTATGCAATATATTTCACTTGGTCCAGGCTTAACTAAGTCACGTCACGCAATGAGATGCTGGGATGGGATGGAAGTTTCTAGGGCATACTGTTACGAGGAACAGGATGGATATTTGTTGCTTTGTTTTTCTGTGTCAGACTTTGATTGAAATTTTAGTATATATGTATAGTTTAATATTATTCGTTGTTGAAAGGTGTATCTCAGTTTTATATTACTTGTTTGAGCCATTTGAGTCCCTAATTTTGTTTCCTTTTTTAGTTCGGAGAAATTCTTATCCCGCACTAATTGTAAAATGTGATGCATCTGATAGGTGATTCAAGCAACAATTATATGAGAAGACTAGCAGAGAAGCCAATTCCCTACATCACAAGTATTTTCGCTCAAACGACAGTCAAATTGTTAACTTGTATTTATGTAGTATTTGCAGCATTGGGGAAACTTTTTGTCGTTCGCTCTGTAGACAACCAACGAAGAAGCCAAGAGAAAACCCAATCAGCACAATCCAATTCCCAGGAACAATTATTTACTCCGGCAATAAAAGAGCCACTTTGGCAGAGGTTGCAGAATTTAGAGGCAGTGGTAACTGAGATGGCCAATAAACCTAAAACAATTCCTCCTGAAAAAGAGGATATTCTTCAAGAGTCATTGAGTCGTATAAAATCTATAGAATATGATTTGCAAAAAACAAAGAAGGTAATTCCAGTCTCCCACCATAATAGTATTTAGAGAATTTACATTATTGTGTTGATTGAGTTCATTGCTTCATGTTAGGCCCTGCTAGCAACTGCTTCAAAGCAAGTTGAGCTTGCTGAGTCATTGGAAAGCTTAAAGCAGAGTAAATTTGATGTAAGTTGCTATTTTCCTCCACTTTCAGTTTGAGAACTTAATATATAAATTTAATGGCCTGTCTTATAACGCTGCTTGATCTGATGAGTGCACAACTCTCTGCTCATCTGATGCAGAACATAGAATTTAACTTGGAATATTTTCTAACATTTTTTTAATCAGCGAGTGATAAAATCTTTTGCCAAAGAGTTGTTTTTTAGAGTACATACCCACTATGACTCCCTTTTATAACACCCTGTCCTCTTGGTAACAATTACAGAGGTCGTTAAATCACATAATTGGGTTTTTAAAGTATATTAGGACACAAATGCTTATTTGAACCAGAAACTCTTCCAAGTGGATTACTACTGAAAGGATCCAAAAGTAAAGCTACATTGGCCATCACCATCATATTCTTTTTGATTTTACTTTAAATTGGCTCAATTTGAGTTGTCGACATACCTTTGTATTGTTTTACCTTTTAATGTATTATTCTCATAAGATAAAGTTATGAATGGGTTTTGTTGATAATTTTTTCGTACTAGTACTTCAGTTGAATGTTTGTATACAGATGATAACTTTTCCTAAAATACAGGGGACACAGTCATGTTGGCCTAAAAATAGTAAAAGTTGTACCCAAGGAAGATGAATATCCCTTTTTTTCAGCATCAGTTTGCAGAGATTGCTTGTCCGTTGTTTTCGATACTAAATGCTGAATTACTACCAGATCTAAACTTCTGTTGGCTTATATAAAGGAATTACTCTCATTTTCATAGGTGACTTTCCATTACTTTATATAAGCTAATTTTATGCTCTGACTCCATGAAAGAAAAATTAGTATCTCGTGTAATATCCATTTCTTTTTCAGGTTTGAGGACTGGGCTATGGGAGTAGATAGCCCTAATGTATAGAAGGCAACAACAATTTTTTATGAGGATTCTGGACTCCGAATTGTTCCCTTTCAATATATAACCGAGTGTGTTAACCACATTTATTTTCTTATTGGCTTTTCTGTACAAAGGACATAGATACGAAGTATGCTATTCAAATTCAGATGTATTTTAATACCAGTTGCAAATATGCACAAAAGAAACATTTTCTGTAGTATGTAACAAGTAGCAAGCGCGTTACAGTAAATTTTGGATTTTACTAAATGTGCTTTTCCCCTGAAATTCTTAGTTTTGGATATATATATATTTTCGTTTTATCACTCTAGAGATTATAGTTCGTGGACTTTATGATATGAAAATATCAACATCCATGTTATTAAGCCACAGTATCTTTCCGTTTGCTAGTATATCTTCCATTCTCGAACAATGCTTTCGAAACTGGTAGAATCAACCGAAGAATCAAGTGTGGTGAGTGGTTTGTGGATCTTAGTTGATCCAAATAATTTAATACATGTTTGAAATAAATAAGATAAATTTTATAATTCCATATAATAATCAAAAATACTGAAATTGACCGAATTGCGCATTTGTAAAGAAATACAAGGTTTAGTAATGTATCTCGAGAATATTGTTTTTAATTGTGAGCCTTTAATGTCAATTAAGGTCGTTAATTACTTAAAATATTAATTTTTTTAAAATGTTTTTTTCTTGGTTGGAATTGTTGAGATATAACAATTTTTCTCTTCGTTCGTTAGAACAAAAAGAGAAAATATAATTTATAAAACACATGTGTTTTATTGGTTGAAAAACTTTTTGGGTCGTTTTGGGTGATGACTTATAGTAAAATCATGAGAAACTTAAGTTCAAAGTGAATAATATCTCATTATTGTAGTGTGTGCAAATATTATGATAAAAATAACAAGATATAATCATTCTCTTAAACAAGCTAAAAAATAGTCCCTAACAGGAATTATTACAAGGATGATAATAAAGGTTTATAAGTAAATGTTCTAACTGTCTAATTACTTGGTAATTTTAGTGGTTTTAAATTTTTTAATTAAAATAATAAATATTTCTTCATTATATAATTTAATTTTCATTTTGATTTCTTTAATCTAAAGTTACTAATTATTAAGATATCTTGTTATGACATCATATTTATTTTTGGTTGTGGGTTTTGTGGTTTGGTAAAGACACAATGATAAGATAGACTTTACAATGCCTAAAAGAAGGAAATGAAGTGGATTAATAAGATAATATTAGAATATTATAATTTATAATTTTAATTTCCTAAATACTAGATAATGACACTTATAGGGTCATCCTTGTAGTTATTGGGTTATAAATATGTATTCCCTTAGCCTTTGGATGTATGAATGAAAATATTTTAATCTTTATCTTCTTGTAGCTCTTTAATGGTAGATTTTAGTATAGGAGTAGTTATAATGTTTTAGCTTCCTAACAGCGATGCTTTTACTATGCCTACTCCTAACCATACCATCATTTGTACTACCCTCTACACATTCCTTCTCCTTCATTGTGATGACTTAATCTTACTCAATCACCTCCCTTCAACATGTATTGTTATCATCCTAGCCATTTACATTCTCACATCACGCAACCCCCCATGTCTCGCTGCCTTCCTCCATGGTCATTAGTTGTTTCCCCTCCAACCATTACAATTTCTCACACCAAATCTCAACCATCAACAATTCAACCTCCATTGCCATTGGTACAGACACCATTCCATGTACCCACTCACACTGTCCAATACCCCCAACCCCACCATCTTTTTTTTTTTTTTTTTTTTTTTTTTTTTTTTTTTTTTTTTTTTAATGCTTACCATAGTCTCCTACTCCCATCACAAGCCAAATATTGCCTTTCATGTGCAAAACCCCCCAATTTTCCAACCCAAATCTTCACAAATTCTTACAACCCTATATGCCAATGGTTTTCCTCTTCTGAATGAGTTTTCTGCACAACCTTACTTCAATAGATAGATGAACCAACTACTAGTCCACCTTACCATGTTTTTGATATATCCCCCTTTCATTTGCAACATTGGTGTTATTATTCTACTCCACAAACCATTACATGTTATTGCTATCAACTAAGTGTGCATAACATCTAGTTGTTCTAAAATAGCTTGGAGATGGTTCTCCATGGGAGGTAGAGTAAGCTAATGAAAGCACCAACGGGCACAAATATCTATTCTATTGTAAAATAACCTAAAGCCATTAGAATTAAGAAAAAGATAAAAACTACAATAGAAAGACTATTCAAAATTTTCATTGATACTTCTATTGGCTAAGGAGATACAAATTTGTAACCTAATAGCCACTAAGGATGACATTGCAAGTATCATCATCCTATTTTAGGGTATTAAAATAAAATAACATTAAAAGATAAATGCAATAATAATTTAACTCTTTCCAATAAAATATCTTAACCATTTGATTTTTCTTCTTTTGGGCCTCTTTAGGCCCATTTTATTATTTCCACTAGGTTGAAAGAGAACTTTGTCCTCAAGGTTCTGGGCAAAATAGTGAGACTCATGAGTGTTAATTTTGGATGGTTGAGATTTATTTGCAAAGGTAATGAATGGATGGTAGGATGGAGGCAAGGAAAAAGGTGCAAGGGCTAGCTGGTTGGATGAGAGGAGTAAAACTAATAGTTGGTGGATAGGAAGTGACGTACAAAGAGAGAGAAAAATAGGTGGTTGAATTTGTTTTCAAAGGTTTTAACAAAGTGTATGAAGTGGTGCAAATAATTTTGGGAAAGATAAAAGTAGTGGGTTTTCTTGGGAAAAATAAAAATAGTGGGGTTTGGAGGGAATGTAGGGATATTGTTAGGGTGATCACCCATCATGATCCCTTTCGCCACCTACAACTCCATCATCTTCTCCTCTTAAGTCATTTCCATTAATGGATTCTATTTTGCAAGTTGTGGTGCGATTGTTATGGAAGGCACGAGTGACTTTTGGGATGTGATTGTGGGTGGTGACAAGAGGAGTTTGTTGTCTTTGGTATGATAATGCATCAAAGGAAAAAAATGGTAGAAAGGAGAAATCAATGGTGTGGGTGGCTATGAAAAAAAAAAGGCTTGCAGAGGTGATTAAATGAGGAATAAGTTGTCCAGTTTAAATGTGAAAAAAATTAAAAGAAGCATGGATTGGGTTTAAGATAGGTAGTTGTGAAAGATGAGGAAAGTAAAATTGGGGAACCTAAGAAACACATGGATGATGGAGGCTAGAAGTGACGGTAGAGACCTGGTTGGTGAGAAAGGCATGGATGGACTGTATGGTGTGTAATAGGTGAAAGTGGTAGATATCCTTCCACAACAGTTGATTTTTCAACTGAGTGTGCATAACATCTAGTTTTTCTAAAATAGCTTGAAGGCATTCCTTCGTGGGAGATAAAGTAAGCTAATGAAAATACCAATTGATAGGGTGCAAATATCTATAGTACTACAAAATAATCTATAGTTACTATTAGAGCTAAGAAGATAAAAATTACAATAGAAAGACTATTTAGATTTTTCATTAATACCTTTATGGATCAAGGAGATACAAATTTATAACCTAATAACTACTCAATTGGGTTGGGATTTTTCCTAGCAATTCATCAGCCCATCACAATCCTTCATGACAAATATAGTGTGTATCACTCCATACTATTGTCATAATCACTTTTTAAAGGTTGACATTCTAGCTTAGAGGGTTCAACAAAATTGGCTTAAGCCATTTGAAATTTACTTAAGTCTTTTTTTTTGGAAAATAAGGGTTCAATAAAATTGACGTAAGCCATTTGAAATTGCTTAAGCCATATTCTATTAGAGGGTTGCAAAAATATTGGTTTAATCCATTTGAAATTCGCTTAAGCCTTTTTTTTTTTTTCTAGCAGAGAGGGTTTCAATGAAAATTTGCTTAAACCATTTCAAAGTAGCTTAAGCCATTTTCTAGTAGAGAAAGTTTCAACAAAATTGGTTTAAGCCATTTCAAATTCGCTTAAGCCTTTTATTGTCGATTTGTAAATTTGAATTTATACTATAATAGTGGCTTTGCTGCTCTATTAAGATCTTTTGCCTCTTTTCTTTACACAACTTAGATGTCCAACTATCACAAAATACCATCAACTTGTAACCGTTCACAACATTACATACAACTTAACCCAAGGATTATCAATGGGGATTTCCACCCAAATTTTTCCAACTCAATTACACCTTAATTTAACATTAAATTTCACACATTAATGAACACAATAACACCAACATCTATCTTTCACCACAACAACTTATACCAACTTCAATTCATCAACCACACAGCCATATCATACATTCAAACACAATCTAACACACAAAATCACTTCACAACTCATCAAAGGGTGAATTTTAACTATTTTTCTCAAACTTAATCTCACCACCCACCATGAACCCCACAACAACAACTCCAAATAATCAATTCTCCCCAAATCAACAATAAATAATCACATGCATCTCAACATAACATTTCTCATAGCCTAGTTCAAGGTTTATCAACATGAAACTCAACAATTCATCACATTATCTATTCAATACATTTGAATTCCAAAACACAACATTTCTCCAATTCAACAATTGTCCAAAAATTAACAAACACATCAAAATTCAACCATATATAAGAAAATCACCCAATCCCATTTTCCCTCAAATTCAACAACCAATCTTTAATTCAACTAAATGTAAACCATTTCCAAAATCAAAGACTCAAATTTGTTGAAGGTTGAGTTTCTTTTATCTTGGAGACATCCTCTAACTAGTAAGATGGAAGGAGAAAAGGAGACCTAATTCAATCAAACACCTTAACATGTCTCGACTTCCCAATGGTGAACCCCACTCTATGAATCATCTCTGCTACCTCGACAACTTGACCCTATGGTGTGGAATGGGAAGAAGAGACATGCAAGGGAAAAGAAAAACCTTCCATTGCTCTAGGTTCCATCTTCTTTCTCTAAAATGGAAAGGTGAAGTGAATCTATAAAAGTGGGAAAGGAGAAGATAAGTGTGGTCATTGAGGGGAAGGAATGTGGAGAAGAGGAAAAAACTTCTAATTTTAGGTTCTCCCTCCATTTGTTTGTGTTGCACTCATCTCTCTTCCCTTTTCTTTTTCTTTAATTTCTTCTTTTCACTAATCTAACTGAAAAATGTAAAACTCTTCTAACACCCTCACTTCATAAAACTCTCAAAAAATATAATTAATTTACTCACAACACAACCACAAATATTTAACTACCTCATAAAATATA